TCCCCACCCCCCCCACCGCCCCCCCCTCCCCCCCCCCCCCCCCCCCCCCCCCCCCCCACCCGCGCCCCCCCCCCGGGGGGGGGTTTTCTTTTTCTTTTTTTTTTTTTTTTTTTTTTTTTCGTCAGCCAGGTCGCGAACCACTCTGAAATGAGAGACGAGTAGAGAAACAAGCTGAACGGATGCCCCGCCTAGGAAATCAATTGTTTCGATTTGGGGGCTACAGCTCTTTCGCGCGGACCCCAACAATGATATTACTGTTTAGGGGAGCTTTCGGGAGGCTTGATAGACATAAGCAGTAATTCATAGTTTACCTTAGGTATGTATTCCTACATTTCATTTTAGTATACACCATAAATTATCGCACCACTTAATATAAGCCCATATCGTAGCATAATACGTTAAGTACGTTCAATATGCCTAACATGTTACATCATATCCGGCCCCATCTAGAGGTATGATGTAATTCCATCCTACACGATATCCATAATACTACAAAATTACTTTATAGATTCCCTTCCTCATCCATGGAAGATCGGCCTTCTGCTAGGGGCAGTAATGGCTTCTGCATCCGTTGCTGTCTTTTCCGCCTCATATAAACAAATAGTAAAGACCAAGAGATCAATATAATGGCCATCATGGGTATGGACACAGAGAAAAACAGTTTCAGAGCACCTTTCCGGATGACCCAGTCCGAGCCAAGAGACCCATCGTCGTCCCAGTGGAATACGCCGCTGCTGAATAGGGTCTGTCTTAAGGTTAGAATTTGATTAAACCGTGGAATCCTATTCCGTACAGCTATAAAAGTCCCCGGGAGGAATATAAGCGTAAATATTGTAATTACGTGCATCGACAACGTCTCTTGTTCGGTTCGGACGGCAATGTCTTCCATTCGATCCGAGGATATCTTTGCGCTACTTGCGAAGTACTCGGATACCTTCTCGCTCTTATACTGCAAGAGTGTAGTGAACTTATTGCCATGTTAGCCTTATGCATAAGGATATTTGACGTATCTGACATACCATCGTCTTTTCATTTTCCAGTGCTTGGGATAATGTCTGTATGCGACGATAGTGTATGTCGAGCTCCCTTTTAGTACTTCGTATTTTAGCGAAGAAAGCAGCCAGGTCGCTATCGTAAAGGCCTTTCTTCATGTATGTCGTCAATCCGTACGACTCAATAACCGAGCGGTAATGTTCTTCGATCGCTCCAAGTACCCCTTTATTCTGTTCAAGGACCGCTAATGATTTCTCTAGCTCTACAGACAATTGACTCATGTTTTGATACTTCTGGAAAGAAAACTCCTTTTCGAGATCGGAAAGTTTATCGCGGTCTTCTTCATATTCTTCGTCTTGTAGTTCCGGCGTGTCTTCAACGCCTTTTTCTGCTGTGTTTTCTTCATCATTAGGGGGTAGTCTGCTCTCAAGCCCGGAAAATCGCCGGATGGATTTGAACAAGTTGGATGAGGACTGACGAAGCGTCCATCGCTTGGTACTGTTAAATATATCGGTAGGTTGGCTTTTCGAACCAAAGGTATTAGTGTTTCTTTGAGTATGCGCTGTCTCGATCTCCGCTGGTCTAGTCACTTCATCAACTGGAGCCGTCTTTCCCTCAATAGAATTGGTATTGACCACTTCTTCGACGTGTTCAATGTATTCAGCCCAATTTTCAGAGCACCAATCAATCATGATCATATGCACTTCAAGGGCAGCGATGAACGATGTCTCGGGGTTAGTAATAGCCGTAGCTTTCAGGCGTCTTTGGTGCTCCGTGGCGGACAAGATGCGCGTCGCCATAATTTTGTTCCCTTTAAGGATAATCCAAAGACTCCGGCCATTGGAAACATCAAATGAGTAATACAGGGCAACTTGGCGTAAGGGCCATTGATTCTTTTCGATAGAATCGCCAGCTCGCTCCACGGATAGGAGGTTGAAAGCATGTTGAATTTGTACCCCGGATCTTCTAAGCTGTGGTATTGCAAACTCTGAACTATTCTCTTCAAGATAATCTTCATATCTGAATGCCGCATGTGCCAGAGGTTGTTCGCGGGTACAGAAAGTTAAGACGAAATCTAAAAAGTATGGCATTACTTGATAGTATGTGAGTAAAAGCAGGAGTTGATCCTTGCTGCACCCCAACGCCCCTCGAGCCGATTTGGACTGAAGGAATCTATCCTCGCGTTAGCCATGAGTGCCAACTGTACATTCAAATCTTCTTACACCATTCGCCAAAGCGGTGCGCCATCTTCTTCGTCGATATAGCTGCTAAGTTGATCAACCGCGTCGGGGGACCTTAACTTATGAAACGCTACCCATTCGTTAATATTTTGCCTTCGAACCTATCTCAGCCATAGGCAGTAACAAACCATTGCCGTTTTCATATAGTTCGATGAAACCTAATGAGCGATATGTAGGATGAAATACCCCTCTAGTATTGAGCTTTGCACGGTAAGACTCAAGCGTATGATGATACGCTTCTGTGCGTACAAGATTTGTAGGATACTCTAGATATTCCGGCGTCATGGTTAATTGAAACAGTTCATGTATAATAAATGTCACTGTGCTTTCTTTTTGTTTTTTAATACCCGGTAGAAGTTTTGTCCTGGATTGGGGAATTAGAGGGGTCTGGGTAAGCCATATAAAAGGAGTATCCAACTTGGGGATTGGTACCCTCTCTCTCCATGTGCCACTTGAGAAATGACAAAGCTTAGCTGTTCGCGAATAAGCCAATTAAATACAACAATTTATGTTTTTCCAGTGTAATTTCAACTGAGCTAGAGAATCTATGAAATTATCTAGGTACCTCGTAATCCATTTTCTCCTGCGAGGCGCTTTCCATAGTTCTCGTTACATGATCCAACCTAGGCTGTGCCTCTTCAAATAATGCACAAGACAATCAATTACCATATGTTATCATCGTCCCTCGAATAACGAAGTTGATCGTAGATGTGCTCTTTTTCTTCCTGCGGAACCTCATGAGCACCTCCTAATGTTAGACGTCATGATTCGACAACGTACTGGAGTGAGCTTCCGTGGAATCCTAAACCAATAAACTGATTCACCTTCAGCTGAAGCCTATACTGTCTAATCAGCTCGAACTCTTATTACAGGCGGCCTCTCACATATCAATAATAGTATCTTACATGAACCGAGATGTCTCTATTAAACAATATTTTCAAATAAAGTCTAAGATCCTCCGGCCGAAGGCGATACGTCGATACTGTGTCTTTCACAGCCATGATTTGGTGGGCTGTATGCGGTCTGAAGGGCGAAGCAACAAAATCAGCAGCGTTCTCGCCCCCTAAATCTGCCTTACCATATCACACTGCTAGCCTACCTACCTTATAAAGACAAATCCCACATGAGGCTCTTCTGCACACCATTTCGCCATTAGGAATAAGACTCGAGTGTGGAACGCCATAGTCTCAGAACCCCTCATCGGAAACTACTGTAATAAAAGTAATTGGCCGGATACAGGTAATACAGTCTTACATGCACGAAGATATAGTACCACACCAAATCTCCACCAATAAAGGAGACATCATTCGAACAGGATTTATAAGCTTACAAAACGGCAGGAGATATCACGTATGACTACAGGATCTGGAGAGCTCGGGATCCCGTCCGCTCTCTCATGCTAAGGCAGATATTAGACCTTACCGGGGGCAGACCGGACGCATCCCTCTTCGCCTTCTCACACCCGCACTCGTTTCCCCTGTGAGGCTCATCCGGGCGCGCGCGCAGCGGGCTGCGCATGGTACAGCCCTAGACCCAACCAGCTCGTCGTACGACGACCAGAGCCTTCTCACTCCCCCACCCCCCTCTTTTTCCCTTCCCCCCCTTTACCACTCCCTTACGCAACCTCTCTTGCGTATGTTGGAATTCGATGACCTACCTCCTCGTGCTGCACTACCCTTTCTTCGACGCCGCGCTTTGTACGCTGTCAACGGCCCAGCCCTTTCTTACCACGTAAATGTTGAACGTGCTAATATACTACGGCGTTGAGGCAAAATTTCGATAATGAATACATTATGAATGACACAGTTTCAGAACCCCTTTAAACATATCCGAGTCTTGGATCTTGAGGGTATTTCGCAACCACCCAAGCCCGGCAATACCGATGCTGGCCAGAACCACCCATATGAGTTGCGCTGCCAGTTGCGAGTCGTCGATCTCGACGAAAATCCACGCCCGAAATTTATCGCCCTATCATATGTCCGGGGTCGGGTGTCGTCCAAAGAGCCGCGGACGATAATGTGCGATGGGCACTCGAAAGTCGTAACAGACAATTGCTGGGAAGCGTTGAGTCAACTGCGCGATGCTCCTGACCCTGATCGGAATAATGATGGGTCTATAACTCTGTGGGTTGATTGATACAATTTGCATTAACCAGGCCGATGAAGAAGAGAGGCTCCACCAGATTCAGTTGATGGGTGATATATACTCGCAGGCTGCCTCCGTTTGCGTCTGGCTCGGTCCCGGAAAACCACAATCTGACAAAGTCATGGACTACTTGGAGGTAGCTGGTTTTCAGGACTATATTGTTGGAGGCGATAGAGCCCTTAAACCGGGAATATCGCCATTGACATATTGGCAACTAGCCTTTAAAATATTCATTAACTGCAATATCCAAGACGTCCTCCATCCCCGTAACAAATCAGGTGAGCCTCACGAACTTGAGCCAAATTCTATGTAAGTGAAAGGAGATCTGACTTGTTTGAGTAGATCGTTTCTTGAATTTGCTTACAGTTGGAGACCGCTATCTACCTTCGGGTGATTTTATGGACGAGATATTTGGCAGGCCTTGAGTCAGTCGCATTTGGACTTTGCAAGAAAGGTTTCTTGCATCTCGGATAAGGATTAAATGCGGTACTAAATCCTTGGACTGGAGTGATATGCTATATGCCCTGACCTGGTTTTCCTATGTTCTTGAAGCATGCAGGACAAGAGGCTGGCATAATCTGGGTTTACCTTGGAATGGTGTTGTGGACACAGCCGGTTTCGAAAGGTGGCATGGACTCGCCGAATCATGGATGAAAATCCATTCATCTTCCTACCCAGGCGGCGATACGAATCGTCACTCAATAACCACCTATTACACGAACTCGAGGACGATGGTGGATTATCGTATTGCCATAGCAAAAATCATTCTAATCTACCAGGTCGTTCTCGGGTCCATCTTATGGGTTATATCACTTCCCGTGTTGCTGATATATTTGATTTATGAGGTGGGATGCCTGATGCTCACCATGCCGTCGCTTGTGGTGAATGTAAGATCAAGATCTCACTTCCGCGAATATCGAGAACTTTGGATTCACGATCCCTACTAGTTATTTTCGACCTTGTCATTCCTGCTGCGAACATACTCAGAGAGGGCGTCCTCTCCTAACTGAACAGTCGCTAAATGCTAATACTACCCTAGGCGCCGATTTAGTACGGGAGATATGGCAACGTGCAGCAACGGATCCCAAGGACAAATCCCATGGAGTGCAGTCGGTACTCCGTAAGCTTGGCGTCCAAGTCGTCGATCCGACTCCAGGGATGCACTTCCACGACCTCTATAGAAAACCTTTCGTAGCACTTCTGCGATGGACAAATGATTCAAAGATTTTATTGTGTGCATCGGGGCCCAAGCTAGCTGATCAACCTTCTTGGGTCCCAGACTGGAACTCTGGGAAAAGGCAGCAATGGTTCAACTCGAAATATGCCGACATTGGAAACGATTATACTGATGCAATGCAACTCCCATCTGAGTTGTTCGACATGAGTCTTTTAGGTCAGCGAGGATATGCCAGTACCAAAACTTCGGGTTTATGTCATATCAACGAGGACCTCATGGTCTTATATATTAAAGGGGTTGTGATTGGGACAATCCTTTGGGCGAGTGATAGTTTCAAAGAAACCGCCAATGAACATCCCTCCATAGCGGATGACACTCACTTACGGAATATTTCCATCTTCCGAGATTTCTATACGTGCCCAAGCCAGTCATCATCAGTACCACCCGGGACACTTTTCAGAACCTTTAACGGAAGTAACTCATCACTATTTTGGACAATACAGACGATGAGTAGTCTCCCTCCAAATGTGATTCTATCGACATTAAAAAAAGAGAAGGGTTCTGTACGACTATTCTATTTTTGGAAATTATGCCATGAGCTTGCTGTCACTCAGGGGTGTTTATTTAGAAGCTCTTCTGCTGTGCCGTCCCAAGGGGCAAACCTCTACGGACCTTGCCCACAAACCAGGTACCCAGGTTGGAGATATTCTCATTATCCTTGAGGGAGTCAATGTAGACTGGTAGGGTTTGCTATGGTTGACGATTTCAAAGTAATGGACGATGGTGTATGGACTAAGATGGCAAGTAAAGGCGCAGAAGAGTTTGAGATCGTTTAAGTTATGAACGTATGTTTCATTAGTGATGCCACAGTTTGGTCGGCTGATAATATCCTGAGAATTGCTCTTTGTACAACGTTACGTACCTATGAACGCACGGCGCTGATAGCGTTTGTGTCTCAAATATTACGCCACCTAGGAGAAAATGATGGTGCGGATCGAGATCACACAGTTGCAACTCCAATGAGAATAAACACCTTATACATTATATATATATATATATATATATATATGTGGGCGGCAGTTTGTAATAATTTATCTGTAACTTTACGGTTTAGGACACGCAGATCCTTTTTGTAAAAGCGGCAGGCAAATGCATGTAGTACCAGAATGAATGCCAACATACGAGAAATGGCGTGGTGATATAGCTTTACAATAGCTATTAACCTTTAGCTTATTTAATTAGCGATATCATCCGTCCTCATATCTATCTTCCAACGTCTACCCTCCGCTTAGTTCAGCACTTCTAATATACAAGTCTCAAAGCCTTTGGCGAAGCGTTGACAGAATGGCTCTTGACAAGACAGGATACCCTCCTCTTGACTTTGAGACATTCTACAATATAATCGACGGGGAACTTTCATCCACCCAGAATAATGTTCGTTACGGCATAAATCCGTTTACTTTAGAGAAGAACCCGGCAGTCCCAGTAAGTTCACTACACGATGTCGACCGAGCTGTTGAAGCAGCCGGAAGAGCAGCAAAATCATGGGCCGAGGTCCCCTGGGACACACGTGTGAGCGCAATCAGAGAATACGCCAATGCCATCGAAGATAAAGCCGAAGACTTTGCCCGGATCCTAATGATGGACACCGGCAAGACTGTGAGTTTATTTCCGGTGCAAGATCCGGGCGAGCCCCTTGCTACCGTATGCGAGCTTACCATGTATCGATAGGTCAATTTGGCTCGAGACGAAATCAGCACATGTATCCAATATCTCAGGGGATTCTGCCAGCTATCCCTCCCTAGCGAAGTCATCGAAGACGCCAAAGAACGCAAAGTTGTTACTCGATACACACCTGTTGGTGTTGTGGCCGGGATTTCCCCTTGGAATTTTCCTGTTCAAGTCGCTTGTACATGGATGGCGCCTGCTATACTAACTGGTAACGCCTACATATGGAAGCCATCTCCTTATACGCCCTACTGCAGCCTTAAGTTTGCTGAGTTGGGCCAACATTTTTTCCCTCCCGGTGTGCTACAAGCCTTGAGCGGGGATGACGATTTGGGACCTGTGAGTGGCATTTCACAAGATAATCGTTCCCTCTTGTACCCATTCCCTCTTATACCATAGATTGTCCCCTGGATAATCTGTTTCGGAAAGCATGCATTGACTTCGAGCACCGCAGTTACTAACCGAACACCCGAATATTCAAATGGTGAGCTTCACTGGTAGTACTCCGGTGGGGAAAAAGGTAATGGAGTCTTGTAGCAAGACATTGAAGCGAGTGGTAATGGAATTAGGCGGTAACGATCCGGCTATCGTTTGTGCCAATGTCGATCCCGTCTCTGTGGCGATAAAAATCGCATCTGTTGCTTTCTGCCACTCGGGCCAGATATGCATAGCAACGAAACGAATCTATATCCACGAAGCGGTTTATGACGCTGTGCTGGCTGCGATGGTCGAGTTTGTGAAAACCTTGAAGTTGGGCTCTGGCGAAGACGCTTATACTGGACCAATAAATAACAAAAATCACTTCGAGTATGTCAAGGACCTACTCGCGGATGTAGAAAGAACAAAGCTTACTGTTGCAACGGGGAGTACGAAGCCCCCATCTGATATGGGCGGTTACTACATTGTCCCAACAATCATCGATAACCCACCAGATGACGCGAGGGTTGTCGTAGAAGAGCAGTTCGGTGAGTTGCATCGCAGAGAACTAAGGGACTAGTACTAATACGATTCCCATGTGCAATAGCGCCTGTTCTTCCCCTGATGAAATGGTCAGACGAGGCCGATGTCATTTCTAGGGCTAACAACACCAACATGGGCCTTGGTGCATCGGTTTGGAGTCGAGATATGGACCAAGCTGAGCGTTTGGGAAAGCAGCTTCAGGCTGGTAACATTTGGATCAACACACACGCTGAGCTTCAAACTAGCGCCCCATTTCCAGCCCACAAACAGAGCGGACTCGGAACTGCAATGGCAGTCGATGGCCTTAAGGCTTGTTGCAATGTTCAGACCATACACACTCGCCCAGCCGATGGCACTACATAATGATAGAGCGACTGGTAGGAGAAGGATCATACACATTCCCTTATTTCCTGTCCTAGATTAGGTTACTTTTACGAGTGGGAGGCAGTAACACAAAATCTCAGAACCATGATATAATAAATATCTCGCCAAGTCTGGAATGTATTAGATGAAGACCAATAATAATCAGCGAGAATAACGTGCATGTTTCTTACGTATTCTAAGCCACTTAACATGTGGTAACTACGTGATACACACTTATACTACCCCCTGGGTGCTTCAGTGGCGTAATTTGGTCACTAAGGTAAGAAAGTCATGGCACAGATGCAGAAATACATACACAGCATCATGCCTGCCTACCTACCTAAGTACTGCACCTACATGCCTATGCCTAGTCGGCCGCAGCTACATACGTTAGTGCAAGCCTACGGTCGCCGTAGCTGTTCTTGAAGGTAAGAACAAGCCTTGGCAACAAATGCCCACAAAGCAACTATCTCTAATAGAAGCACAAAAGCTACGCCGGATCATAATCTCGCCTACATGCAACATTATTACTAACTACCTACCCATTATAAATTTATACCGGTTTGGCTATGGTAGCGCCGCGGTGCTATTTGCTGACGATGACAGCCGAAAGGAAACCAGTTGATCGGACAATGGATAACACGACCGGCTTCCGCGGTAGCTACAATGATACCTACATACCTACCTAGGTACATGTCTAAGACATTTCCGATGCTGTTAGGATCCGGAAGAAGAAAAAATATCGTCATAGATCAAACCCTACCAAGTTAGCCCTTTGTATTGCTAATCTAGTCACCGAGTGACTATTCGAAGTAGTAATTCGAACCCGCAACCTCAATCATTATGCTACTACCCACTTAGATATTAGCACCTTACAACTAAGTGTACCTGCGTAGGTAATAAAAACGCGATATAAATCTTATTAATATACGGACAATGGTTGTCACGCTGGTGCTTAGCCTTTAGCCTGGCTCATTACCTATCAGTAGTTTTCTTAAGAAGTACTGGAGTTATGTTAACAGGTAGTTATTAACTGGTACTCTACAGCGGCATCAACCATCTCATGAACTACTATGCAATAAGAAACTATGATACACCTTCTACCCATTTTAAAGCCAGTCTCGTATCAGCACGAGTTATCTACCCTACCTAAAGAGGCTCTTACAAGATACCTTCTTAAGAATGATTACCCAGCTATCTAATGCAACTATCCTCGTCCTAGTAAGACCGTCTCTAAGTACCTTGCTTCACCATTACTTTCCACTGACAGAAAAACAGCGAATATGCCTGGACCAATGTCTCTAACTCCGGAGGAGGCAGCTCGAATGCTGTCACACTCTAATGATAACTTGGCTCCTAGCATCATCACTTGCTGCTCAATTTCCCTGTCTGTAGCTATTACATCCATTGGTCTGCGACTCTGGTCACGAAGAGTGCTCAATGGTAGATTCCACTTCGACATGAGCGACTGGCTCGCTATGATGGCCTTGGTATGTAAATACTTTCCCTTGTTCTCGAATTTGACATGTTGTAGCTGATAAAATTTAGGTCTTATACGCAGTTTATGTAACTAGTATCATCATGACAACTCACTACGGATTAGGACGACATATAGTATCTGTTTCACACCCGCGCTCCATGAGCATCGTCAGTAAGCCTCTTTCTATGTTACTTGTGTTGTGTTATTTCTTTACCGTGTTCATATTCTCCGGATATACTGCGCAAGTCAATGCCACCCAAGAGTAAAGGCGGTCACAGTATGCTCACTGACCGAAATAACAATGAACAGTGTACCATGATCGCCGAAAATTTATATGTTTGTACATTAGCTCATCTAAAGTATAGTGTGTTGTGTCTTTATAGAAGAGTATTCTCATCTTCACCACGATTTTGCCGATGGACTTGGGCTGTAACCGCCTTGGTAACCGAATGGCTGCTCCAAGTTATACTAGCTACTAACCTCCAGTGTATTCCCATCTCGGCCGTGTGGGATCCAACGATACACGATACAAGCACCTGCATCAACTACGGTGTCGAGGCGCTGGTAGCTTACATTATTAACATTACTACCGACTTAATAATTATCGGCATGCCTATTCCTCTAATTATAAGACTCAATACATCACAATCGCAGAAGTGCAGGTTGCTTATTGTTTTTGCCGTAGGAGGGAGGTGAGTTAATTGTTTCCCCCTACCCTCTACACCCCAAGTGTCTTCTAATTCTTCTTTCAGTGCTTGCCTAGTCAGTCTGGTCCAGCTTAGATATATTACCAGGCTAGGGAATAGCTCAGACGCAAGTTGTGAGTAGTCCTATGCGGACCTAGAAGACAATACTTCACAGCCTATCCGAATATTTCTGACAAAATGAAACGATATTCAGGGGACTACGTGCCATTAGCCATACTTGCCTTGGTAGAGATCATGGTCGGCTTCCTTGCCACGTCAATTGCAACGTATCGACCTCTTTACCATCTTATCACTAAGGGGTCAACCACCGAATGCGATGGAAATAGCCATTCAACCGGCAGGGTGACAGGCGGCCAAGAACGGCCAACTCTAAGAGCCCAGCTAAGCACAGATATTCGAGGAGGTGCCGAGTCGAGGATAAACAACTCCAGAGAGCCTCCTCCACAGGCTATTTGTGTAACCACAGATGTCGAGTTGACGGTGCAGGACAGCGTGCAAGGTCCTTTGGTGAGAAGTCATGATGGAGTAGAGCCTCTTGATCTTGATAGGGGTCACAGGGGTCATATTGAAGAAGAGAACCAGTCAATATTATAATATTATAATTGCAACCGACACGCCGGCTATTCTGACATTCTGACAGTAAACTGCACTAGTTACCTACCTACCTACCTACCTACCTACCTACCTATATTAAATAATTTTCAAAGTTCATAAAACTTGAAATAAAATAAGATGGGATATGAAATATGAAATATTTCACTAATGAAAAAACAAAAAGAGCCTGCACGAAATCCAATGCAACCAAACGTGTCGAGCTATAATTAGGCAATTGCCAACCAACGGAACCGTGCATAAATGGGACGCTCTCTTACGTTTGTCCTCGTATTAATATAAACACTTACGTTTCTCAACGCATGGGTATACATTATCCGGTAAGGCTAGATTCTTGACTTGCCTAGCAACAGGTACGTAAACCCCAATATCGCCCGACCATGACGTTGCATTTCGACCTTTTTCGACCTTGCATCATTATAGTTGAACGCTTTGTCCTCCAAGTAACGTGCCATATCATACCTAGCTCCGTGTCCATGTGGCGTTTTTATCGATACATACGAATAGAGCTATTATAGAGTTAACCCTTTCTCATAGGTCTCATAGGTATAAATATGTACGCTCGCTCCTCTGCCTTTACTCATAACTTAACTTAGGTACCTCTCTTCCGAATCAGATCATTCCTTTCACCTCACCAGTATATTATCTTATATTAATTAATTAATTACTCCATACATAAGCAACTATGCGAGTCCTCACAGCTTTACTCGTCGGCCCGGCCGTCACTCTCGCAGCAGCCATCATACCGCGCGCATCCGTCCCAGAGGGTCCCGTACGTAAAATAACTACATCCAATACCAAGTACCTCTAACTAACTCTCACAAGTGGACTGCTGGCGTCTGGAGAATGCCCACCGACGACAACACCTTTTTCAACGGCAACGACATCAATGCCAGCGGCGGAAAGTTCTACGTCAACAAGAACACGTCCGCCTACTGTCCCGGGGATGTAGAAAACCTCGACTGCTCTCTTTATCCGGGATCCAAGACCGTATTCACAGGCGGCAACAACACCTTATTCCTAGATGTTGGAGTTCCAGGCGGACAGCAAGGTAAGAAGACATTCTTATATTTACATTCCACGCTTTGCCGTTCGAGATAGCTAAAGCGCACCCTATAGTCTACGTCGCAGGGGACGGCTCGCTGTCATACACCGTAGCGCATTCCGGGGCGATGCCCGAGGGATCCGTTTCCACCGGCTTCCAGAGACAGCGGAGCGAGGCGTTTGGAGCTCCTGTAGTGTTAAGCAGCAGCGCAAAGTCCTGGTTGATGTGCCCAGTTAGCGAGGGCGAGCCAAGAGAGAGAACCTATCAGATATACGTCGGCCAGGGAACTGAGGACTGCTTAAATACTGCCGTCAGGACTTACACATCCTCTGGGCCGGATGCTTGGCAATACGCATGATCAACCTACGATTAGTGAATGTTCAGACTATGGATAGGTGAGGGCGAAAACCTAGGAGAGGCCACTTAGCGAGCCGTTACTAGACCAAATTATGTTGTAGATAGTCAAGAAAACATGTTCATCACCTAATACTATGCAATATTAGGAACGATGCCTATAATTAAATATCGTAGGAAGACATCACCTAGGACTATAAAACGGGTTTAACGTATACACTAACATAAATAGATCAGAGGCGATATGTACCTAACCTAGGGTATCGACTTTTACTCTGGCTTACCCGCATCTACCTCCTTTGCTTCTTAGCTTTACTGTTCTGCTGCTGCTGTCCATCGGTCGCATCGTTGTCTGTTTTCCGCTTTTTGCGCCTCTCCTCAAGTAGCTGCTTCATTCCTGGCGTAGCCTTGTATCGTGGGTTCGAAGGATCGATAGCGAATTCATGGCTATCAAAGACAGCCTTGAATCGATCGTCTTCAACATCCATCTCGAATCCTTCTTGGAGACCTCCATGATCTTCTACTTCCTTCTTTCTCTTCTTGTGCTTCTTGGATTTCTGCTTTTCTACGCGAGAAATCTCGTTCATGTCGAAATGGTCGAGATGTTCAGCAGCATCCTTAGAATCCTCAGCCATGAGTCGCTCCAATTGGGCCTTCTGAGCAGCATTCTCCGCTGCTTCAGCTTCTTTTGCTTCTCGCCTCTTGCGGCGTTCCTCCTTCTTTTCGGTATGTTTTGACTTTTTAACAGGCTCATCGGTTGTAAAGAAGGGGTCATCAAAACCGAGGTCATTCTGGGGTTGCTCGGTCTCATCATCTGTTTGATTAGAGCCTTCATCACGCTTCGTTACAACCTTCTCCTTTCTCCGAGCTTTCCTTTCTCGCTCTTTACGCATGTACTTTTCGATCGTAGTCTCTTCGGCATCCGGTTCTTTCTTCTTTTTACCATCGTCCATTAGGGCGGCGGAGAATGTAACTTGCATGTCTCCGACCGGACCAGATTTTGAAGGCCGCGATAGAGGTTCGGAGCTCAAACCGAGAGCTTCACGGAGTTTCTTTGCTTTCAACTCTCTTTTTGTCAATTTCGGCTGATCATCAGCCACTTCGGCCTGGTCCTCTTCCCCTTCACTCCGAGCATCCTCGTCGTCACTATTATCGCTTGCAAGATAAGCGCGCAGATCGTTCTCTTCAATCTCTGCGCGACTACCACTGAATGCCCGCTTGATATCCTCTCTCCTGGTCGTCTCTTCGGGATGTATATCCCAAGTAAGTTTAACTTTAGAATGCTGTAAAGCATCAGTTGTGAACTCGGTTGGCTTGTAATCAGGCGATATGGAATCGCACTCATCCCTCGGCTCGTCATCAAATGTGACATCATCAGGTATAAATCGCAAGTCCATAAAATTCGAAGATGATTGGTATTCTGTGCCATCTGTTGCGGCGTAGATCTTCTCTGCTGTTGCCGTATCAGAGCATACCATGACGGCATAATAGTAGCGCAACCGGTCCAGTTGGTAAGCTCGAAGTGCATCGCTATCAAAGTCTTGATCATCTCCTTCCTGAAGAATATCGTTTTTTATCTTTTCGTCATCTTCCTCGTCGTCGTCACTATCCTCGGAGTCAGGCTCGGATTCTTCACCCTGGGACTCTGAAGCCTTCTTGAAGATCTCCCTAGGAGGCCCTTCCAACTCTTCCCGTTGCATTCTCTCCTTGCCAAACTCGCTCGGGTAGATAGAAACTCGCTCGATCCGTCCGCCTTTGGGTACAAAACTGGAGAAAAGAGCCAGTAAATCGGCAGACTTTATGTAATCCCAATCTAGGTTAACGATTGCTATCCGTTTCGTGACCTCTCCCGTTTCGACGTCTGCTTGAGCGTCGCGCAACCTTTGCATACTCCCAGACGTAGCTACTTCGGCCTCCTCATCCTCTTCGCCTTTATCATCTTCGTCATCCTCGTCATCCTCGTCATCCGAGCCGGATTCAGAGGAGGAGAATCCACCACCACGAGCCGGGTCATATTTGGTATTGGCCTTTTGAAGTTCGCGCTCAACGACATGATCCTCATCCACTTCGGCACCCTCGTCGTCATCGGCCTGGTATATGTTTTGTAGGGCTTTCTTCTTATTATCTGACTTTAACTTGCGACCGTATTTATCGACTTTGGCACTCGCGACGAAATCATCATCCTTCAGCATACGTGAGAAACGTTTATCTATAGTAGTCTTGGTGCGACTCTTCGAGGGTAGGCGGAAACGAGGGTCGGATTCGAAGTTAGCGAATCGCGAATCGCCCGTAGCAGACGAGGCACCTTGCTTCTTGGACTGTTTTTTAGGCATGCTGAATTGATTGGCCCTCAGTAAGAGCACTATGTCTTCTCAATTGACTGATTGTAGGTTTGCGCATGTAAAGTTGCAAGTTGTCGCAGACAGTGGGACAATTGAAAATTTTAGTGGGTCTATAATTCGTCCGGTCTTTTCACTTGTTATAGAAGGCGGTGATGATGTGTCCCATTCTTACCGCCCGCCTTAACTAGGTAGTCTTTTTAAAGACTAGTTGGAGTTACACTAGCACTAGTTGCACAAGTATAATGTCACACAACATGGGTGTGCTATGTATTATACACTAGGTTACCTCTTTAGGTTAACTATATTATGTAACTAGCTGTTACTTTATTCTCCTTGAAACATCTTTGACGCCCCTCCTTCACTCACCAACGTCTCCTCCTAATCCACAAACCGAATACTCAATACCGTATTCTATACAGTGCATAATTATCTGTTGTAAAGTACAACTTATAACCTAGTGAGGGAGGGGCACCATCGCATCTGATAGGCCTGTTAGTATCCTATCACCACATCAGCTTAGAAGGGCTTCGTTACCAAGTGTGACCATTCATAAATTGGATCGAGAAAACTGCTTTAAGTCTTCATTTGTTAGTTGTGATTATTAGGGGACTGATGCAAGCCAAGACTTCTGAAAGCCCGTTCCCTGGGTTCCACCAAGGACTTCGTCACCCCTCCACGACATAAGAGCTGTGATTCAAACTTGACCGCAACGGTCGTCTTGGATACAGATTTGTATACAAACCATAGCTAAATCTTGGATTGGTGTAGCCTATTTATCTTAGGCACCTCCTAACCTAGCTGATTTAAATTATCCAATCCATTGTCAATTTCCTTTTATATGAAGTCTAGATATCTAGATTCCTCACCACCTTTTTGCTAGCCTACTATTTGACCTACATATTACTTACAACCCTATCATATCCAACATGGAGCAATTTCTGCAAAAGGCAGAAGATGCCTTTAAAGAAGTGAAGGAGGCCTTAAAGGGGGGTGGTGAAGAGCATTCCCAGCAGGATAATGGAGGCGCCGTTGAGCAACAGGCGCCCAGCAACTACCGTTTCCAGTCTTTTGCACCTCAGACTACTGGCTCTGCCAAGTGGTATGTCGATGGAGCATCGTACTTCTACGCCGTATCTTTAGCTCTTGAAGGTATGTGATGTTAAAGCCTAGTATACTGCCGCGAGCAATTCCGCTAATTTAAAATACAGAGGCTAGAGAAAGCGTGTATATTCTAGACTGGTGGCTGAGCCCGGAGCTCTACCTTCGTCGACCTCCCTCACGTAACCAGCAGTACCGTCTCGATAACATGCTGAAGGCAGCTGCTGAGAGGGGCGTTGAAATACGCATTATCGTATACAAGGAGGTCACTCAGGCCCTAACTCGTATGTTCTTCCTTAACTAAGCTTTTATCACTATGAGTTCGGCTAACATATTGGGCTACCACTAGTGGACTCTGCGGTGAGCATCTATATCATATATAAGCCTTACGCAACTCACTGATTATCCTCGTTAGCATACCAAGCATGCCCTGGAGGCTCTACATCCAAATATCAAAGTATTTAGACACCCCGATCATCTACCGACAGACAGAGCGAAGCTTGAGACCGCCTTTGCCGATTTATCTTTGGAAAACCTCAAGTTGAACGACTTCCGCTTGTCCAAGGTCTCCGGAGAGGCACTAAAGGAACTTTATGGTTCATTTGGTGAAACTGTCCTGTACTGGGCCCATCACGAGAAGTTATGTCTCGTCGATCGACGTATCGCCTTCATGGGTGGTCTCGATATGTGTATGTGGAACACCCAAGCCCTTGAATCAACGCTAACATGTCTCCAGGCTTTGGAAGATACGATACAAACAGTGAATTTTAACCTATGATACTCTTATTGACACCTCGGCTTACTGAAAATGAATAGGCCACCCTATTGCCGATGCCCACCCCGGTAATTTAGACGCAATTGTCTTCCCCGGTCAAGATTTCAACAATGCTCGTGTCTATGACTTTGAAGGTGTAGACAACTGGGATCATAATCAACGTAAGTATGGTATACTAATCAATCTGGCCAAGTATTCTAACCGAAATAATAGTCGACCGAACGAAGAACTCAAGGATGGGCTGGTCTGATATTTCCATTTCCCTCAAAGGCCCTATTGTGCACAGTCTCATCGACCACTTTACAGACCGATGGTAAGTGCCCATGAAGAAGTTATGGAACATAATTAACACGGTCTCAGGAACTTCATATACGGTGAGAAGTATACTAAGAAAGATACTGGCAAGTACCAGAGAATCGTGGTTGGCAGTTCTGCCGAAAGGTCCCGCGGAGAACAACACCATGGTATGTTCGACGACTTCCAGGGCCATTTTAATCGCGGAATAAGACGACTTGTGGGCGAAGGAGGCGAAGAAGAACACCGCAACCGAGGTGATGGCGACTATGAAAATTCCGGTGGTATTAAGATCCAGCTCTGTAGAAGGTAAGCCTACGTTCTCTTCTATAAATGGTTATAGTTGAGTTATACAATATTGACTATCTCAAAGTTGCTGCGATTGGTCCGCCGGTCACCCAACAGAGCACTCCATTTCCAATGCGTACATTAACGCTATTGAGAATGCCGAGCACTTCATCTATATTGAGAACCAGGTAAGCTCTTGAATCAAGCAGTGCTGTTTATTAGTTGTCTAACATGGGCCAGTTTTTCATCACAGCTACATCCGAGGAACAGCGTCCGGTTGAGAATAAGATAGGTGCCGCGATCGTATCACGCATTGTCCGCGCCCATAACAACAACGAAGACTTCCGCGTCATTGTGTTGATGCCAGCCGTGCCTGCGTTTGCCGGTGACTTGAAGGCCGACGGAGCCCTCGGGACCCGTGCTATTATGGAATTCGTACGTAACACCGAGTCCTTCTATCCTGTCTCGGGAGTCCGAACCCCGTAGTCGACTGGATTGAGTGGTTGGCTATTATACTCCGAGACATCTATAACGCCTTGAAACTAGTTAAAAAAGCAACTGCTAATTCAATCTCACAGCAATACAACAGTATCAACCGCGGTGGTCACAGTATCATCGAGTCCCTACAACAAGAGGGCGTGGATGACTGGCGCCGCTATATCGGCTTCTACAACCTGCGCAACTACGACCGCATCAACCTATCTTCTACTCTAAGACAAGCCGAAGAAGACAGCGGTGTGTCCTACGAAGATGCCCGTCGCGAACACGACGACAGGGAGCAGGGCTACCGCTACGGCGATGAAACCGAGAGACGTGACGATGGCAATTACGATCGTTACCAGTCCGCCGCCTCCAAAGTCGACGACAGCACCTGGGACACCGTGTCTAGCTGCTACATGGAAGGCGGCACCGACATCCGCGAGGTCCCATGGTACGGCACCGAAGAGGACGAGATGGACGCGTTCGTGTCCGAGGAGCTGTACATCCACAGCAAGGTCCTCATCGCCGACGACCGCCTCGTGATCTGCGGCTCGGCCAACCTAAACGACCGCAGCCAACTCGGAACCCACGACTCCGAAATCGCCGTCGTAATCGAAGACCAGGAGTCCGTCGACAGCAGCATGAACGGGCGCCCGTTCAGAGCGTCCCGCTTCGCGACGTCGCTGCGCCGCCAGCTCTACCGCAAGCACCTCGGCCTCCTACCCGACCAGCGCTGGGACCAACCCGACGCCAACTGGACGCCCGTGGACCGCGACCCGCAGCAGTACGACTGGGGATCGCCGTCGGACAGGCTAGTCGAAGACCCGATGAGCGAGGACTTCTGGCAGCTGTGGACGGAGACGGCGCGCACCAACACCGAGGTCTTCAGCAAGGTGTTCCACCCGGTGCCGAACGACCAAGTGCGTACCTGGGAGCAATACGACGACTTCTTCAGCCGCCACTTTTCGATCCCCGGCGGCAAGGAAGAGAATGAGCGCAGGCACAAGCGCGACGACGAGGATGAGCAGCAGAGCAAGGTCGAGTATGGCCACGTCGTGCGCGAGGAGTTCCCCGGCGGTGTTGCCGAGGTTAAGGATTGGCTAAGCCGTGTCCGCGGCACGCTGGTTGAGATGCCTCTTGAATTCTTGATCGAGGTTGAGGACCTCGCGAAGAACGGGCTCAGTCTGAATGCTTTCACAGATCAGATCTACACTTAAGATGTACGGATCCGTACCCGATCGGGCAATTGTATAGATTGCACCCTTGATAAAGGGTTTGACTATAGAAAGGCGAGCTCATCTTGCAGTCTACCTACTTTTTTATATTTTTTTTTATCTAGATACCTAGGTAACTTTGAAAAATATAAACCGCGTTGAGTTGCGATATCATCATCATGCTGGACTCGTTAACGATCATGATTGGCACCGTTGCTCATAAAATCCTGCGTAGATGTTGAACATGGAGATAACCCGATCATCTAAAACCAAGACGCAGCAGATTGATATCAAAATAGTAAAGGGATATTATTATGAGGATGCCTTTGTCTCTGCTGTCATGATAGAAACACAAGAGAGTTCGGTCTATCCTGACCACTCTCGTCTTTTCACCCTCAGCTACTCCGTCCCGCCACCCCTTCGTTTCGTTTCCGTAGTCCCAAAGCTTCGTGACGCGCCGTAGTTTTCTATACTAATGTAGAACGTGTCCCATAACCAAGACACCATATGTTAGAAAAAATGACGATGGGCAATTATATGAGGTCGCCTGTTCAAGCGCGAGGACACAAGAGAGTAGTATACAGAAACTCCCGCTGGGTGAATATCAACTCCAGTAACCCATGTCTTCCCAAATGGCAATGCTTCAAATATTTATTTCCCCGCCTGAAAAATGCTTATTCAGTCCTTCTTCCCATTAGCTGTGTTACCAAGGAGACCCTCCTTTATTTCTTTGATAGGAAGGTTGTCTTCTAGGCGGAAGTGGCCACGGTTCCTCCGGATTCGTCCCCGGAACCATGAGGCACAGCCAAGACCAATTCCTGCTATGCATCCGAATGAAAGATACGGATGCTCGGTAAAGGTGACTCGTATGTCGAAGAAGATCTTCTCGAAGCTCGAAATCGTGAGCTTAGGTTTAATTAGCGGAGGAGAAACGGTGACCTTCGAGATGGTCTCTAGGATCGATACACGCGAAGGGACAATGGGGCTGCCCGTTATGGTCATGTCCCAGTATCGTCGGTTCTACAATCAAAGTTAATACAATGTAACGAAACGATCATCTAGGCTTAAACTTACGTCCTCGTCGTTTATGATCACCCGCTCACCGTCCTTAATATCGATACCATAAGTGGTTCGGATCCACCTTTGCCAAAAGACACCGTCTACCCAGGCAAATGTAACCTCTTTATGGTCAGACATGTCCATGCTGATCCGGATACTTTTAGCGGCCCGCAGAGCCCGTTGGTCATTGCGGTCTTCCGCCTCCTCGAGGCGGAGCTGCTTAGCATCACGAAGGTTCTGTCGCTCTAACTGGAATAATTGTATTTGCTTGTCCATCCATTCGTTTGCGGCACGCTTCATTTCGCGCTTGGCGCTTAAGAAGGTCTCCTGGTCTTCCCTATTTAGGATTCCTAGGACAACGATCTTTCCATCCATGATTTCACGTGCATTCGAGGCAGTAAGCTCTGGGACGATAGGTAGCCAGACAGACTTCATCCAAGTAAGAACCAGATGAGTATCGCGCATTTCTCTGGGGGTCAAGGGTGTGTAATACGTAGGTCGCCCTTCCCGCGAAACGAGTAATCTAGGCCAGGTCGTAATTTTGAATCTATCGTATAGTACGGGGTCCTTTGTCTTAACCAGTTTGGCGTGTCCGATCAGACTGAGAGGCAATCTCTCAAGGGCCATGAAGTCTTCGGTCGTGGTGGCGTGGTCGTAGAAATAGACGAAGATAACATCCTCTTTCTCTTCGAGGGCCTTGAAAGACGAGGCATCAACATCCTGAACGCCAGTGCAAATATCCAAAGCCTTTTCGGCATACTGAAGGAAATCGCCAAGTCCGCGCAAGCCATTGTATTCAACACGCTCGCCTCCCCTAAAGAACAGAATGCTAGGATAACCTCGTAGATGTACGTCCTTGCATAGCCTAGATTCCACATCGCAGTTGACCTCACCGACGTTGAGTTTGCCCTGCATTTCCTTAGCTAGCTGCTGCCAGTTCGCAGCCATGGCTTGGCAATGATGACACCAAGGAGCATAGAACTTGATAAACCACGGCTCCTGGGTCATTGTTACGAGAGTCTGAAAGCTTTCGGCCGTCAGGGATACGGAAATCCCTTGCTCATTGGGAGTCTTCGTCGGTTTGGATGGTTTTACGCTGTCCACTTTCACCGGCGTAGACTTGGTTGCAGGAGTAGCATCGTCGGGTTCGCCCTTCGCAGACTTCTCAACCTTGTCAGCCTTCTCGGCCTTCTCAGCAGTTCCTTCAGTCTCGGATGATCCTTCAGGAAACGATTTTGCCCCGGGTTTCGGAAGCGAAAGCTCCTTGGGGCGAGTACCAGGCTTTTCCTTCTCGAGCGCGCCCTCGATCATTTTCGAGACAACAGTTATATCTTTACCACCATTGACACGGTCAGCGATCTCGCCATCTTTGAAAAGTAGGGTCTCGGGCCATGTAGTAATCGCATGCTTTGCACATAGGTCGCCATAAGCCACACAGTTTAGCTCGGCAAATCTAATATCGTAAAACTTCTCGAAGGAAGCTGCAGCGGATCCGGATTCCGTGTCACTCGGGGCTTTGGAAGTGTAGTAGTATTCGTACAAAGTCTGATAGGTCGGCGCATAATCTATACAGTGAATACAAAACGGACTATTAAACCGTAAGCAAACTGCTGAGACATGCTACAGAGTAACATGGGAGGGACAAATCATTATATATCGGGAAATAATGTACAGAATCCCGAAGCCAACGCTTAGAAATAAAAAGGTCTCACCTGTAATGTTTGACAACCAGGAATTTTGAAAGTTTCAGCTCCTTATCGATGGTATCGGGGGTTAACTCGAGTAATGGAGGTACTCTTTTGCCATTAAAATATGTGTTCTCCCGGTCGGGACTATCACTTGTCTCTGAACCAATTACTTGCGCAGTGCCGAGGACGGCAGCGCCGAGGAACAGCGCGAGAGAGGCGAGCCTCATGGCTAATAGGGTGCGACTTGTTGTCGCGAATAACGAGCGTGTTAATGATTAAACAACCAATGATAGCAGGTGAAGCGTCGACGCAGGAGAGGAATGTGGTCGCGTCAATCGAATATTGATTAAGATGGCTAAGCGCGCGACTCAGCACAGGGGATTGAGAAGGGACTGAAGTTGTTGGCAAGGAGCTTTTTCCGGTCTAGGTAGTGTTTGGAGAAAGGGGCAACGAAGAGAGAGTCGCGCGTCACCGGCTCCAGTGCATCGGAATATGTCCAGTGGGAAGAAAATGAACAAGGAAGGAATGAAAAGAGAATAGGAAAAAGAAAGCAGATGGTTACGTCTGCAGACTTAAAAGCCAACCCGGAGCAAAAATAAAAAAGAGATTCATTCAGGAGGCTCGAGTTCGCTAATAGTCGTCTGTATCACTTCTATGGTTAAGATGATAAAAGTACGTAAGTTGGGAAGGATGCGAAAATTGGTTTGTTGAAACAAGACTATCGCTCTACCTTTTCCGTAAGGCCAGAAAACAGTGCACCGCCTTCTGTTATCTCTTGGTGCCGTTGACTGTGTGGAGAGTTCGATATGAGTATTACGTCGTACCTAAACAGCCGTACTAGGCCAGCTCATGGTTAGAGGCAAACCAGAGCTACCTTGGTAGTACTTTGCTTGATTAGCTATACAGTGTGTCTTAACCTTATCAAAGTCTCCACACGACCCCTTACAGCAGTAGCGATACTTAAAAAGGACACCACTAACGAAAGTGTGCTTAGCCACGATGGGATGATACCTCTATATACCATGTGGCTAATGCAAGGTGGCATACCAAATCAAGTCTCAACTTTGTATACCATTGATTTTAACTTAAAAATTGACAAACAACTTCGTTTCATTCAATATAGCGGAATATATTGGCATTGTCGCTTCACTGACCAGATCTCATCCGGCTCAACAGATGCTAAATAAAGTAGAGCATACGGATCCGTACTCTCGTACGTATTCAGTAATCTATATCAAAGTAGTGGACATTTACGGCCATCAAACATTGGCTATGAAGCATTAAACATAAATCAGCCGTCCGCGTCAGCCCTGTGGAATTGTTTTACGCTTGAAACTTGGTTGATATCAGCATCGACTTTCTGCATATTTGTCGAACATTGAAGTCTCTGGCCTTGACACAGCTGACGTGCATATACTCCTACAGAGGGGATCTTGATAATCGCGTTGCACTCCACCAATACATACGACGTAGCCCCTATCCACTCTCGTTTTTCGATATGATAGAGCATTCAGCAAAGCGCCGCCGTTTAAGTAATACGGAAAAGGATGGCACTACGAAAGTTACGAAAAGGTCCAATGAGATACCAGCATCCCTTTCACTCCCAATTAGTCCTCCAAGGAAAATGAGAAGCCACGAGCGTAAACTCATCAAGTCCCCATTTCAGCTTACCACTATTAGAGACCTTTCGGAAGAGTCAAACATCGGAGCCGTCTCCCTCCATGATATTCTCGGCGATCCACTGATAGCTGAGTGCTGGGAGTTCAACTACTTACACGATGTGAACTTTCTTATGAGCCATTTTGATGAGGATACAAGATCGCTCGTTGAAGTTCATATTGTACACGGATTCTGGAAGAGAGATGATACCCATAGATTGTCGCTTGAGGTAAGCCTACTTTCATCTTCTCTAATGCATCGTGCACTACGTTCAAAGCCCAGGTTACACAGTATCGTGTGAGGCTATGTATACGGATGAGCTAGCCATCTATAATTCATAATGTTGCGGCTCATAACATGATGAGAGAGATTGGTATTATATATTAACATCTCGAAAGCAAGTACACTGTATTTACTTACGAGTACCCTCTTTTGACTTTCAACTGGAATCCAAGTATCGTAGAAGCATTGTAGTGTGCTGTACTTCGTATATCAGGTGGTTTTAATAGCCATGTGCCAACCCTGTTTAGATAATCTAGAATGCCTACTTACCCATCTTACTCCATACTCAGGTGAGGGATTGATACTAACACCCAATGTAGAAACAGTCTTCTCAGTACAAAAATGTCACTCTTCATGCAGCACACATGCCAGAGATGTTCGGTACCCACCATTCGAAGATGCTCGTGTTGTTTAGACACGACGACACAGCACAGGTTATTATATGTACAGCCAACATGATTCCAAAGGACTGGACGAACTTGACCAACGGCGTTTGGCAAAGTCCACGACTCCCTCGCCTAACGGAATCGCATAAATCTTCCGGAACAGATATGCGTATTGGCTACGGGCCGAGATTTAAAATCGACTTGCTGAATTACCTACGGGCATACAATACTAAAAGACAGACATGCGAGTCCATGGTTGATGAACTGGAGAAATATGACTTTAGTGCCGTACGAGCAGCGCTGGTTGCCAGCGTGCCTGGAAGGCATGATATAAATGGAGATGATCCTAGGAAGACTCGCTGGGGATGGGCAGGTGTTAAGCACGCCCTCGGCCCCGTCCCTGTTCAGTTGGGGAAATCAGAGATCGTGGTGCAAATATCATCCATTGCAACTCTAGGTGCAACAGACACCTGGCTAAAACACACCTTGTTCGACCCATTATCATCTACGAGGGCGAGTTCCTCGAAGCCTAAATTCAAGATAATATTTCCTACTCCTGACGAGATAAGACGTTCCTTAGATGGCTACGCTTCTGGTGCTTCTATACACATGAGGATACAATCAGCAACTCAAGCGAAGCAACTTCAATACATGAGACCTATATTTCACCACTGGGCTAATGATTGCGAGAAGGGAATAAGTACGTCTTTAACTCACTCGTTTCTAAGGTGCATTATAACAGTTAAGCTAACTACACCTCAGTCGAAGAGGGCAATGTCCAGGATGGAGGACGCAAACGTGCCGCGCCACATATAAAGACTTACATACGGTACAACGAGAACAAGTCCATCGATTGGGCCTTGCTCACATCCGCCAACATATCAACGCAGGCCTGGGGAGAAGCCGCAAACACTGGACAGATACGAATTGCCTCGTGGGAGATTGGCGTCCTCGTGTGGCCTGAATTATTTGCGGATGGAGCTAAGATGGTTGGTACCTTTAAGACGGATATGCCTACAAAAGAAGATTTCGACGGGAATGAGCCTTTGGTTGGTCTAAGGATACCGTATAGCCTGCCTCTACAGAGATACGGAGACAGTGAAGTTCCATGGGTAGCTACGGCAAGCTATACGGAACCTGATTGTATGGGTCATTTTCGGAAGGATTAGACCTAGGAGTTATCAATGTAAGATGATATATAGTAGAACTATTATATTATATTAGAGGTCAATTTAAGACATCCGGTTATGTTAAACGAGCAACTCGAGTATGCAACAAATCTAGTCGTAAATCACCTCCCTCGACTATCCTGAAGTCATGTTCGCACATTCACTTGATAGTATAGATTAATCTATATAGCTATAACGTCTGCAGCGTATCGCTGCCCACACAGTCTAACCGCGAAGAATTCCAGGGCTCCTTCGAGACTGGAGCGCACCTAACATCGCTATAAACACGGGGCTAACCGACTGGTCTAAAACGAAGAGAACGCGATAGATGCAACGACAGAACTAGAGATCTATACAAATCTAAGAGCTCTTGACGGCTTCGGGCTCCTTGTTCGCGTCGTAGCCGTACTTCTCCTTCAGGGTCTCGACGAGCTTGACGTAGCGGTCCTGGGCGTCCGCGGGGCTGATACCCTCGTCGACGAGCTTCTGCCACGCCTGGTACTTGTACTTGTTCTACATGGTCGGGTTAGTCTATACATGTACTACCATTGTCCTACGCGAATCCCGCATGTTGGGATTGGCTGTAAGGGAGAGACGGGAGGATTCACGTACCTTTAGGTCGAACACGCCGGGCTTCTCGGCCTTGCTGAAGTCTTCGCCGTTGCCGACCTTATAGAGACCTATATGAGACCATTGTTAGCTTCTTCACTGTATACATTCTCCGGTCTTGGGCTATAGAAGATATAGCCAAGTAGAGGTGATTTGCATATAATAAGAGAGAGAAATAGGATCAAGTACCGTAGAGCTCGAGGAGTTCATCGTTACCAGGCTTGGAGGTAAGCTTCCTGGAGTCTTCCTGGGCCTTAACGAAAGCAGGGCTGATGTCGACCATTTTGACGAGTTTGGGAGGTTTTGGAGTATTTGAGGGCTAGAATATTCGATCCCGTGTTAGCTGTAGACTCTACTAGCTACTTTCTTATAGTAGAGATAGGATGGGATTATCTAAAGATATATGAGAGAGTTACAGTACCTGATTGTGTATTTGTTTGTTTACATGTATGATGTTAGAAACTTACTATGTAACTAGGTAGGTTAGGTGCAAATAGGTCAAATAGGTTTTGGCGGGGTCGATTGCTTCAATGCTTCAACCATGAGTCCATGACGACTTTCGTCATGCGTTTGCTGCGCGGGGTGATGCAAGTACTACCCGCTTCTAATTGGTGGCATTGTTTTTCAGGGACCCGCAATCTATCAGAAGATAGATCCTTGAGATTAAGGTCCGGGGCTTCGTGTGTCGGTGTAAATATGCACCGTCTCCGATCCACTTAGATTTACATCTCTACCCGTTCCGATCCCTCGGTATTGTTGTTATTGTCGTCGGCAAGAAAAGCAAATTTGATTACATTATTAGATTCGGTCAGATTTATCGTTAATTTCTATGCTTGGTCTATAACCTGGTTTGTTTATCTTTAGTGAGGATATTTTATTCTATTGAAATCACATAATGAAGAGTGATGATATACGCTGTCGTTACCTGGTGCCAAGTCAGCCAATAAATAATAAATACGGAATACACCATCGTGCAAATGCGTTTTCTCCAGCTGGCCCGGTCAGTGCAGAGCTCAGCTTACTTGAGTTATGGCCAGTATATTGTTACATTCTTATGGAAAACAATCTGTTGCGCCATTCAATATGAGAACCCGCGCATTGATGCAAAAGGACTGCAACGCGCAATCCCATTTCCTAAATAGGGAAGCATTTCTTCGGATTTCATAAGGCTGTCCAATAAGCCAACGAGAACGAAACCCCCTTGTCTGTCTCGACTCCAATAGATCGCGCTCGATGCCTGTCGCCCATAAACTTTTAGAGCCTCGTTCCCAATAGTCTTTCGGGACCGAGAAAATCTTCCACTTTCGTAGATGAAGTAGTATTATGTACGTCGGGCGCGTTGATGGTCAATGCAGAAAAAAGACGAGAGCAAATTGAGACTCGAGATTTCTCTAGTAGCAATTATGGCATTAGTCATTCTATTGGCCAGATTATTCATCATTAAACTTACCTACATATCAAGGGGCATTGCACCTTAGTCATGCATGGTATTGTACTTAACTCTTTGAAGCCTAGTTTGGGGAACGGCCGTTCGGACGGCCGCCGGACACAATAGAATGCCTAGTTCCATATCCAAAGTTTCCGAAGCTTTGGGAGACATAGGTAGCCGTTGAACGTTAGCGCCCCTTTACTTGTAAACGATTATGAATCCAATGCATGTTGACAAATTAAATGCGGTACTAGGTTAATAAACTACATTGTCAGCAATGAGACGAATATTATTCATCTTAAATTTCCGAACTAATTCCCGTGACTAACGGTGGCTTCTTTGTGCAGCCACTAAAGCATAATGGTATTACCTATGTACCTGGTATGTAGGTGGCATGTATGTAGATGGTATGTGAAAATGAATAAACTTGGTCTTAGGCCTTTCGGCTTGAGTGGGGTCTCCGTTGTTTGAGGCGTGAAAGTCTATCGAACGATAAGGGTCCGTTCCTCCCTGCTGTGAAACCGACAGCTCAAGGTATATAAGTCATAGCTGCCTGCCGGATCTTAACACGTCCGACATCTAGAGAGAGCTGTTTCCTTCGCCATTTCTGTGGCATATTTTGTTTTCCTTCCTTAAAACTATTTATTCCCATACCTTGTCGAAGTTCTTCGTCCTGTTTCCCAAACCCTTCTAGTTAACTATTAACTACCAAAATATAACCCCTTCCTACTAGCAACCGGACTTCGCCAACAAACATGACTAAGACAATTGTGGTATTGGGTGGCGCCTACGCCGGCGTGGGTGTTGCCCATAGACTGCTGAAATATACGAAACCTCATGTTAAGGATTTAAAAGTTATCCTTGTTTCCAAAGTAAGCGGTCTTGTTGATGTTGATGTTGATGTTGATGTTGATGTTGATGTTGTTATTGTTATTGGTTTCTACACCAGGCCCCGGAGTAAGGCAAAGCTGGAAAACAACAATACGACTCTGGGCTTCGTATAAGAAGATCCACGTGATTGGATACTACCTATGCATAGCATATGCAGCGCATTGAGTTCCAGCAAATCCACCTGGTTTCAACCTGGAACTCAAATTGCATACGAATGAATAATGGGGCCTTTGCTAATTCCTCGTCGTAGGACAGCCATTTCTACTGGAACATGGCATCCGTGCGTGCCATTGTTCCGGGCACCCTGAAGGAGGAGCAATACAGCCAGCCCATCGAGAAGGGTTTCGCCAAGTACCCAGCAGACTCTTTCGAGTTCATAGTCGGCAGCGCTGAGGGCGTCGACATCACTGACAAGACCGTCAAGGTGTCGACGCGAGATGGCGAACGCGTACTTAATTACGACCACCTGGTTCTAGCAACAGGTACGCGCGCCGTGGACGGCACTATGCCTTGGAAGAGCAACGGCACGCACGAGCAGGTCACCGGGCTCGTGACGCAAATCCAGGACAAGGTCAAGACCGCGAAGCACATTGTAGTTGCGGGCGCAGGCAGCACGGGAGTCGAGGCGGCCGCCGAGATTGCCTTTGAATACGGCAAGGAGAAGGAAGTCATCCTGCTCTCCGGCGACGAGGAGATCCTGGGTGGCGACAGCCTGGCGTCCAACGTATCCGGCGAGCTGAAGAAGCTAGGCGTGCAAGTGCGCAAGTCGTCCCGCGTCGATGCAGCTCACTCCACGCCCGACGGCAAAACCGAAGTTGTGCTGCAGAGCGGCGAGAAGATCGTAACAGACTTGTACCTACCTACCATGGGCATGCGGCCTAACACCGAGTACCTCCCCGCGGACCTGCTTACGGATAAGAAATTCGTCGACATTGACGAGTTTTACCGCGCCAAGGGCACCCAAGACGTCTGGGCTGCGGGTGATATCGTGTGGAAGCCCCGTGGTAGCTTCGTGCTTTCGGATAAACAGGTAAGTTTCTTAACTCTTACACTATCTCTGAATCAATATCAGAGATGAAAACGATATATATAAAAACAGATAACTTTTACTGACTACCATCTAAAGGCTGCTGGTGTCGCCAAGAACATCGATCTCGTTCTTAAGGGCAAGGCGCCTACTCCCGTCAAGACGATTCCGATGGATGTTCTCATGGTAGCCACTGGCCGGAGCCGTGGAGCCGGCCGTTTGGGTCCCGTCAAGGTCTTCTCTGTCATGGTCTACATGATCAAGGGCAAAACCCTCGGTGTCCAGCAGTTACCTAGCTACGTCGACGGTAGCGCCTTCTAGACTATGACTACTAACACGTGTTCTTCGAACCTGGCGTACCTTGAGATAATTTGGTTTAGAGGGATTGGGAGTCAAGAGTATCCGAGGATGTTGATACTGCTTTAAGGATATGCCGGATAGTTCGCTTGTGATGAATAGGGGCCGAGGAGAGAACCCGTAATGTGTACCCTAAGATACCCCTGCCCCCTCCTCTGTCTTCTAATAATGAATCGGTTCTCGACAATAGTCTTATAATAGAGATAATAAACGACATTCCTGACCCTTTCTTCTTTCTTCTGTGATATGTAATACGCATCGCCAAAAAATCATGCCACGTCCGTAGCTACTAATATACCAAAAACTTCAAATCTGATGCTGACTTAAATGTTGATTGGCGATTATTCTTGTGATTGTTATTTATTATAGCCAACCTAACTCGAGTTCAACAACTCGCAATAGAACCGGAACCTGGAAATTGTACAGTACATTTGAATTACAGACTAGGTATTGTAGCTCGCTATCCGCCTTGCGCACATGGGGATTTATCATCCCTCAAGCATTTTCTCGTCTCAGACGAGAGAAAATCCGTCTCATTCTCTTTACCTTCACCTTCTTATCCCCTCCCCTCCTCATCAACGTATTGCTCCATCTATGTAAATACCTGTGTATCTCCCTACCTCCCCGCCTTCTCATCCTCAATCTCCCTCCTCAACTGGTCCAAAACCTGCATCCGGCTCGAGAGATGCGCCTCCAAGCCCTCGATCTGCGCCCGCACCGTCTGCAAATCATCCTCGACAACACGGAGATTGCTCCCCGTCTTCGCCTTCCCCTTGCCCTCTTCTATGTCCCGCAATTCGCGACGCTTGTAGTCGAGCAATTGCTCGAGCTCGCGCTTGACGAGGGCAGGTTTGGTATCCCGCTTTCCGCCACCCCGGCGAGCATTCGCATCGGCTTCTACCTTTGCCATGCGGTCCTCGATCTCCTGCAGTTGCTTCTTCAGGCGCACTTCCTCCCACTGCTCGTCGCTCTGGGCGGAGCTGAAGTCGGTGCCGGAAGCCTTGAAGCCGCCGCGGCCGAGGCGCGTCAGGTATTGATCGCCAAACTTGGCCTTACGGCCGGTCGACGTGTTTTCGTCGGCGCGTGCGGCCCAGCGCGAGGCGGCAGGGTTGTTGCGGGCGCTATCGACTTGGTAGTCGATTTGGTTGCGCTCAAAGGAGGAGCGTAGGGACGCGGGTACCGTGCGCGGGATCCGGTAGCCCTCGTGCCGGTTATTGAGGATGTGGAGGAAGGCGAGGCAGGCGTCCTTGTTGACGGTGGACGAGGCCGACGGGTTGATTAGGTTCCAGGCTGATCGGATGTCGGTGTCGGGCACGTCGAGGGATTCGTATAGGTCCTCGAGGGAGTTGACTGTTGTTCCTCATCCTTATTAGTCTTCGCTGCTTCATCTCTCCTTACCTCTTGTTAGAGTAGAATGATAGAAAAGGGGTGAAGACAAAATATGACTTAATATGACTTACAGGCTACTTCTCCTCGCATGTCTCGGCTCTCCTGGTATATTGATTCATACTTGGCTTTATCCTGGGGGTTCATGTACCAGTCGAAGCTATCCTTGAGCCCGGGGGTATCCGAGTCGTCGTCAACTTGTTCGAACTGCACTTGCTTGCCTGTGAGGGCGCGGTTGGCCTGGACGAGATGGGCTTTAGATTCGGGGACGAGCCAGTCTGGTAGCGTCGCTGGCACATCGGCGTATTCCTGTTGATTTTCAGTCCATGTTAGCCGCTCGCTTCGGTTCAGTATAGTTCAACATGCTCGGAACATGCTCGGGGACGGGGGAGAAGTGAAACAAGGAGAGAACCAGGTATATAACTTACACCATTTACTATGTCGAAGATGATGCGCATAGCCACACAGAACTCCTCAAAGTCGAGATTACCATCGTTGTCTACATCGGCCACATCCCATACGCGCTCGAGCTGGTCGTCCCGCAACCCACTGTTCTTCAGTAGCGGCGCCGCTTGCTCGCCCGTTAGATATTTGCCGCCATTGGTCCTGGTTGTGAATATGTTCCAATACGTTTCGATCTCCTGAGCCTCGATGCGAGGTGCCATTGTGAGGCACTACGGAGTAAGGATGCTACTCGTCGTGTAGATATTCGTATATTCTTGCTATGCTATTCCATTGATAGGCGAGTTCGAACAAGAGAAGGGTTGTTTCGTTGGCTGTAACTAAAGCTATAGGTATTAGATGTTTGTATGAGGTGAAGTAGTTAACTCTGTATGAGGTACCTACATGTATGTAGGTAACTTGGAATTATTCGTTGCCGGGTCTCATGCCTGTAAGCTGTAAGTTGAGCACATGCAACTAACCGTTATCCTAAAATATTGAGTGGGCCTGGTCCGTCAACTTTAATTCCTTGTTGATACATACCTAGGTAAAAGGTCGCGCGTCAGCTGTGGCTCAGTTGTACAGTAATAATTACGGCCTTTGCACTTAATAACACTGTCTTACAATTCTATGTACTATGTAAGGAGTATGCGAATTTGTGGGACTCGTAGACTGACCGGAAGACGTCTAAATTCGTATGTACCTAGTCACTAAGCGCATCAATATAGATAGTCTGATGTATTGCTGTAATTTTATCATTCATTCACCTCTAGGAATCGAGTTCCATAACGATTCCTTTATATCTCTGTGCGTGTGGCCATCGCTGCTCTGTTTAATCCCTAATAATGGTTTACATTTTCCAGACACCCTGCCTGTTCCTCCATCCGCCAATGTCGTGGTATATCATTTAGGCCTTTATGCCTCCGAGAACCACCGTATCTACTAGGTATGAGCTAAGAGACCGCCTCCTTTATAATTAACCTCCCAAGGCTCAACGCAATCGTAATTAAGTGGGTATCACGTAACAACTGCGGTGACGCTGGTACCAACAACTCCTTCACTCCCAGGTACGCTTTGCTGTGCTGCTTCCACGAAGCTAGGCCGCCATCTTTGCAAGTACTTGGCAGCTATAGGTCTTGCGTCTTCATAGTCTGTCCAGATGTCCTGAATAGCATCTAGTGCGAGATCTCTTACGGGCGGGCGCATCATCACTAGGTAGTATAGGGTCGTGAGAGTAAGGTTTACCAAGCTTGGATCTCGACATAAGGTCTTAACTTGTGAAAAGATGGCTAGGTTGAGTTCGGGCAGCTCGCTTAGGAATCGTGTGAGCACCTTGTCTTGAGAATGGAGATAAGGAATGAATCCGTCTAGAAGACGTAATGTCCATTTCTCGTAGTAAATAGGGATATCACTCGGGACAGGCGAAGATGACGCTGACTGCTGTTGAACATTATCGTTGTACCACTCCTCGCTTAACCAGGACACGGCCACCTCGATACGCTTTCGGAAGTCCTCGAGAACATAATTGAAGAGCTGCTCCCGAATAGCATCGCTCAGGCGGGTGGTTGAGAGAACTCCTTTGGTATCTTCATCTTCCTCCGGGATATCAAGTCCCGCATTGGCCCTGGTTGCCAAGCGGGTTATCACTGTGATCCAGGAGTCTCGGTCGTATGAGCTGGCTGCAAGTCTGTTGATGCCAGCCTTGGCCTTCTTGATGGCAGGATCCTCGAGAGTTCTCATCGTACCAAACACTCTTGTGACTGAACCTTGCCCTACTTTGGTAGCTTGTTCAGGGTTTAATGTTGGCGGCGGTGGTAACCGGAAGGTAGGTAATGCAAGGCCACCCAATGCCGGCTTCTCTAGCTCATGGCGTTCATCCGCGGGCGAAGAATCAAGTTTGTTTAGAATCTGTTCGGTGTCCTCTGCCGTATAAAAATCAGGTTCATAGTCGTCTTCGTCTTCCTCAACATCAAGTGGCGATGTCTCGGGGTTGACTGGCTGTGGTTGGGCTTCGTACAGCGTTGTTAAACGATCTCGTACACCCTGTATCTTGGTAAGCCATAGTCATAAGGTTGTGCATTGCTTTGACATACCTGAATAGCACGATCTAAGAGCTGGGGGTCTATACGGGCAACGGTAGTAACACTGATTCTGGCGGCAATGGGTGCTGGGACATTGTTACTGACGTCGAAGTGCTTCAGACCATCGTTACTAGTGAAGGTGAAGACTTCTGCGAGGGTATGGGGCCCTGGCTTCAGCGGGGTGATTTCGAGTTGCGGATGAGGTGGTGCAGTTCCCGTTCGTTGGCGCTTGGCCTCTATCCCGTTGGTTTGCTCTGCTAAGGCTCTTTTACGATTACCTTCGTCGAATATCTCGGCTCGCGAGCGCATAAGACGTTCGATGTATTGTTGCATACGGCCGACTAGCGGATTTTGCGGGTTCCTAGAATGATATTAGTGATATAGACAAGCATTGGCCATGTCAAACTCTTACCGTCTGGACAGGTGCATGAGCAACATGCGCGTGGTCTTCTCCATTGATTTTATAAGAACCTTCGTCTTGGGAGTTAAAGGCGAGTTCGCAAGCTTTAGTGGGTTGAAGTTAAGAACAGTGTTCACAATCCTATTTGACGTAGCTGGTCTGTTTCGGACGAGAATAGATAAGGTGTTCAAAGTGGCATCTACGATTAATGCATCGCTAAGAAGAATTTGTCAGTTTTTAAATATGAGCGTGATACTTGATCATCTTATCTTACCTGCTATTGTCTTGCAAAATTCCAAGCATTCTGTCCAGGAGTCCTGACGCTTCGGCTTCGAGTTTGGGAGCATCAAGAATGGGGTGGCTTGGAGGAATCATGACAAGCGATATATCGAGGAGATCGCCACGCTGTATAGAATATTAGTACTAGTTGAAGAAAGTGAATAAGAGATATCCCTACTCTTGGTTCTGGGTTTATGCTCTGCGTTTGCGCAAGTACGACCCGTTGAGCGAACTTGATACAGCAAATTCGGATGGTTAACGGAGCAGTGTCCCATATTCGTAGTATCCTGCTCTTGATAGCAGTCATTCGCTCCCATGTGTGCGTGTCGTAGGAGTTGTTAATACTAGGACGATCAAAAAGTCAGCGCTGTGGACTCTGGAATACGTCATTTGATGAATGTGGTTCTAGAAAGAGGGCGCATAGGCACGATCTCGGGAGGCATAGCCCGCCGAAGTCTACGAGTTTACAGGGACCAATCGGGAGAAACCTACATCCATCGTAAGGCCAACGGGTATATACTGGCCGCCGCCTGAATGACGCCTCTCAGAACTATGACATCCTGGTTGGCATCTTCCACTAGCAACTTAAGTGTTTCCAATACTACTAGAGACAGAGTCTCTTTCTGGCCAGGTGCGATAGCGGGTGTCGCAAATGCTTCGGCAAGGAATTCAGCACCCCATCGTCGGAATTCCACTTGCGCTGAAGGTCCTATGATGGGGAGTGTAGCTTGAATGACTTGGGTGTAATAGTTCGCATTACCTAAAACAAGCTTCCGGGCACCTTCGAGCTGGCGGATCTGGTCCTGGACGGAAAGCTGAGCTGCCGCCATTGCGATTTATTCAGGTAGACCTAACCAGGCCCAAGCTTTTGTACAAGTCGAAAAAGTTGAGATACAGTGCCTTGACAGAGCATGAATAGTTGAACTGATATCGCTAGTATTTGATATGATCCAAGTTAAAAGAACAAAGACTTGAGATTGAGTATCGAGAATGTGGGAGGGTGGGAGTGCGTGAGGGTGTCGATGTTACAGATTGTATTGTGGCGCGTCGTGTGTGCTCGTGTGTGTTCGTGTCTGCCCGGTGATGTCAATTAGAAGATCGCCAGGTAAGTAGCCTGCATCATCATTCATGATACGCCAGCATCAACAATTGAGAACCATGCTTGTAGCTGGAGATGATTTTTAATAGGTTGAGGTTTCAATGATTTGAGATAAAAGTTAGGAACGTGGGATATCTTGAATGGTGTAAAGAGAATTTAGGAAAGGACGTGGAGAAAGAGATTGAGCATCTATCAACTGGTCGCGACTGAAGAGAAAGCTGCTTCAGGGCGCCTTCCGCATGTATGTATTTCAGATTGGAGACTTGAAAGAAAGCTTCCAGGTTGGGTCTTCTAAATCACCATGAATACCTAGGTAGGTACCTCGACATGTACCTAGGTACATAGTGTATGTATATATGTACTTCGTACTTTCCGTGTATGTAGGTACGTGTTGGTTAGTACTATTTTAGAGTAGTGGCTTGCACTACATACATTATGTCCCTAGGTAGGTATGTATGTATGTACATGTACAGAATGCACGGGAGGCATACATGTACCTTATGTATGTACCTTAACCTATGCGGTACATAGTACCTGTAAGCTGCAGCACTTAAGCCGCCGCATCGTCAGACCAAGATTTGCTAATACAGCATTTAAAGCATTCTTCTACCTACAATGCGCCTAACTTCTCAACTTCAACCTTTTCTTTAATACCGTATTGCACATAAGAGGAAACACGCCCGACTGGGCAAAGAAATCATAAAATGGCTGCTGGGTATGCTCATTGGCAAAACGAGACTATGGCATTTATATCTGACAGCCCTGTAGATTCGGAAGCTCCTCATACTACGATAGACGGTTCAGACAATCCCCCGCCCTCATTCGAGCACGACGACCTTACCTCTTCAAGAATGCCGTTGTTGGGTCTGCCGTAGCGGCGTTTGCAGTTGGCGTTTGTGAGTGATTACTCGTAGTAGATATTTCGTCAAGGAAGACGGTGCCGATTTGCTGATCTGGTTACTTATAGATGTATACACCATCAACGTCATCGGACAGGACGAGTTCGAAGATGTAAAGGTCCCTAGCGCCCCGAGTCAACCCGAGAATAAATAAGTACAAGTGGTCTATCATTGGACATAATGCTATCAAGGGAATAGGAAGGCATAAGAGAAGTCCACGAAATATACGGTTAGTCGGCTTCAGCATCGGCATCGGAGATAATGTCTATAAAGTCGGGACTACGTTTTCCATTTCAAGAAAGGGGTTGTAAATGAATATACACTATGTGGTATCGCGGCTTATGTCGAGCCTATGAACGAACGACGAGCCCCCCTTAAACGCCAGAATGTGTGTCTATAAGAGACAATCCGAACAACATGTATCATAGAGATCTTCCCATTCTCTACAGTCCTTTTGAAGACGCCACCCGCTAGCAACGCAACATACCGCAAACATGATAAGATCACTTCCGTACACCAGTTGGAAGCCTCTATTGTAAGCCGTAACGCCAAATGCAAAACATATGCACAGGGTATAACGTCCCTATTTCCTATCTCGCAAGATTATTCAACCCAACGATATACAGCATTGCTGGCCACCCGACTAATTAGTCCCGAATGTGCGCCATGCTCTGCCCACCCGTGAAAATGATTCCTCGATAAATGCGTATCATAAGCTACCTACCGGTTGACTGTTTTCATGTCTCGTAGCTGCTTCTGCTGCCCTCATGCTGCGCGCTTTAGTCTGCTCTAACAAAGTGGCGGCTCGTGTGACTTCGGGTGAGGTAGAAGGCTGTCTCGGTACGTTCCTCTGTGTCCTAGAAGGCCCATTGGAGGACTGAGTTGTCGAACCATTGGTAAACGGATGTGACTGATGGTGTCTCCCGGATCCTGACGATACGCCTGGTATACTACTATGCGCATGAGCTTCGTGTTGGGCCGAGGCTTGTCGTTGGAGAAGATGGGCATTTGATGGATGATTGGGGTTTGCCCATGGGGTTTGTTCGATAAACTGCTCTCCTGCAGGGCCAAGACTTTGGCCGAACGGCAGCCCACCGTAATCCACATAAGCAGGCCTATGTACTTGGTGTCGAAGCGATGGCTGTCGATTTCTCTGATTGCATACGGTCAGTAACGCCATACACTTGAAGTTGTTAATTTGCGACGGCTTACATTTATCGCTTCGAAATCATCCTCCAGATCTTGCATAGTTGCGCCCCTCATCTCCGGCGCCGCAGGCATACCTTCGTACTTGGCTATGCCTGACAAAATAGCCACCTCTCTATTGTATGCCAGTGCGTTTCTAGTGCGCTGTGCAGGGTCAGGAGGGAATCGGAGGCCGAATTCAGGTACATTGTTGGCTTGCTTGCGGCGCTCGTGCTGGATGTCATACCACTGCTGGCCGAGCTCTGCCAAGATCGTTTCTCTCGACTCTCTAACAGACTGGAAGAACTGAGAATGGATTTGCGATCGCCTAGAGACCGCCCATCTCTCTAGAGACTCTACCTTGAGTTCTAGCTCTCGGTTTGCTACACGAATTCTTTCGTCTCTTCGTGCGTCTATGCATTGCATCATGGCAAGGTACTCGGGGTGCGTTATGGTCTCGGATCGTAGCATTACTTCTTCTTGGTTCAATTGCTCGAGTCGTTCTTCGTATAACCTAAAGTAGTATTAATAGATTGGCATCGCAGTTGTTAGGAAGTAACAAAGCTGACCTATCTCTAAAAGTTGCGAATCGTTTTTCGATTGCGGTTAACTGGTCAAAGGCCGTCTTCTTTCTTTCGACTGGTAAGTGTAGGTTAGCACGGGCTCTTAGACATGATCGAAACGATAGTTTCATACGTTCTTCTTCGTTTCTATGGGCTGCTTCTGCTTCCTCGTCCACATCGGCTTCAAGCGGCTCGTCCTCGCCAGCATGAGCACCGTCATCTTCGGCCACCGGATCACCAACGGCTTCTTCCGGCGGTTCGTCGGCCTCAATAGTCTGCTCTGTAGCTTTGAGCTTCTTTGAGCCACTGCGCGTCTGCTTCTTGGGTACGGCCTCTTGGTCTGACTGGGCGTTGTTGGTAATACGATCTATACTAGCTAGGACGGTGATGGCTTCGTCGGCCGAGGGTTCGCCGCTATTCGTATGTGTCGACGGGTCGTCTTCATCGGCCATCGGAGTATCGCCATCTATGTCCTGCCGATTAGGTGTAGGTACTGAACCAATACGCTTTTGCAGTAGTTTTGAAGGTTCGGAATTTTCAATAGGCATAGAGGCTCGTTTTCGCTTTCTGCTTTCAACTTCTTGTGTGGCAGCTTCGACTAGTATATCTAGGATCGGTGATTGGCGCCTTTTCAGTGTCTTTGTCTCTTGCGCCGGGGGGCTGGAAGCTATTGACATTTCTTCGAAGAAGGGCCCGTCGTCTTCATCTCTACTCTGCCCAGTCCTCGTATTGTGCCGTCGCAGTTTACTCGGGGTACGCTCATAGACTTGCTCATCCGCTGACCTTTTTAGAACTACGTCCTTATGTCGGGTAGGATTTCGGGGCGTGTCGTAGAGGCGTTCAGTCTCAGCTTCGGTATCGTTTGCGTCGGAGAGGTCGTCTACCGAGCTTGCATCTTCGTTGTGATTGTCGGGAGTAGCAGCAGTTAGACTATGCAAGTCCCCTGGATCGCCATCCTTATCTTCGACGTCACTCAGCGGACTTGAGCCATCGTCATCGGAGAGCGGTTCGATCGGTGGGGGTGGAATGGTAAGCGGCGCGGGCGCCGTGTCTCCGGTTGCCATTTTATTGTAATAATTAATATCCTCTCTTCCTTAGCCAGGTATGACTTCCACTGGTATGGAAGATTAAAGGTGGATTTGGCGAGAAGGGGAGGGCGCAGTTGTGGTGGTAGAATTGTCGGATGAGTTTTTAGAGCTTGGAAGAATAGAGGCAGAGGTAATGGAAGGAAAGTAAATAATCGGACGGGGGATGAAATATTGAGTAAAAGGTAGAGCTTTTGGCACGACGCCGCGGTTAGGCGATTAAAGGGACATGTATTACGAAACGAGTGTCTGTAGATTTGGGTGCTAGGTATCGAGAAAAAAGTGATGTAAAGGTGGTAAAGGTGGTGATCAAATGGGGGAGGGTTCTCTTTGCGCGCAAGCACCGGCCGCTGGCAGCACTGACACCTTAACTGTTACCCCCAAATAAACCCCAATCTCTACGTACGGCATCTGGCAACCCCGAACAAAACCGCTTATCGATAACACACGCGTGTCAAAATGGTCCGTGACTACCTAGGTACTTAAGAGGTATCAACGTATTTTTTTATCCGATATCGAACCTTATTTCCAATCCAATCCAATCCAATTCAATCAATTGATCCACCACTCAAGCTTGGACTCGATAAGATAAGATACGACCTAAGGTACCATAGACTTTTTTTTTTCTCAACTGGTCGTACGCGCAACCGTGATGCAATAAACTTCACTATTAATACTATCAAGCATAATAACTCAAGTAACAACGTGAAGATGGCCAAATCGTAAGTTTATCATACCAATTTTGCTGCTTTTGAACATGTCATATATTAACAGTGGTTAGAAAGCCTGGTTTAACAGCATCAACGAAAGCTATCGACCCCACCCTCGATGCTCTATTCGCAAGTAGTGTAAGTCGTCTACTTACACTTACATCTTGTACTACGACTAGTAGAGTCCCGCAAGCTGATTGATAATAGGCCGGGCCTGTACAAGTTCCCTCAAAGACACGGTACTCAAATCTACTTCCACACAAAGAACGGAAACCTTCACAAACGTCAAATGATGAGGGATCAGGTTTAGATGATGAATTGACCGCCGGTGGTGAAGAGGTTGACGATGAGGTCCTGAGCGACTTAGATGACGATGCCGAGGGAGGTCTTCCTTCAGATGAAGAAGTAGTGTCAGACAATTCCGAGTCCGCAGAAGAGTCACCAGCGCCGCAAAAGAAGGACCGTAAGAGGAAACGTAAAGATGAACACGACGACCTAGAAGATAAATATATGCGAAAAGTGGCCGAGGACGAGGAAAAGGAGGCGCAATCTGAAAAACGCCGCAAGGGCGAAGCCGGTCAGGCGATAAACGGTACGACAACCGAAGTAGCGGAAGACTCAGACGAGGGTGAAATCCCGTTAGTTCACGAGTCCCTCCTTGCGAAGACGGATGATCATACGGATGTCGAATTAGATAAGGCAAACCGGACTCTATTTCTCGGCAATGTTTCAGCTGAAGCTATTTCTTCGTCCAAAGCAAAAAAGCTTCTGATATCTCATCTTTCATCACCACTATCAACGCTAGACTCAGCTAGTGGGCCGCATAAAGTCGAGTCTTTACGTTTCCGCTCAACGGCATATTCTACTGGCGCGATGCCAAAGCGTGCTGCATTCATTACCAAATCCGTCATGTCCGCAACGACGAAGTCTACCAACGCATACGTCGTCTACTCAACCCCTCTTGCTGCACGCACTGCGCTCAAAGAGCTGAATGGCTCTGTCATTCTCGAACGCCATATCCGGGTGGATAGCGTAGCGCACCCCAACGCGGTGGATAATCGAAGATGTGTCTTTGTAGGAAATCTTGGTTTCGTAGATGACGAAACAGTCATTAATACCACTGCTGAGGGGGAAACTACAACGAAGAAGCGCACAAAGATTCCGGCTGATTTTGAAGAAGGATTATGGCGAATTTTTGGTCAGCATGCTGGTAAAGTAGAGAGCGTCCGTATTCCCAGGGATCCCAAGACACGCGTGGGCAAAGGTTTTGCATATGTGCAATTCTACGATACCAACGACGTTGAATCAGCTCTGTTACTAGACGGCAAGAAGTTTCCTCCGATGTTGCCACGGGTGTTACGCGTATCTCGCGCAAAGGATCCGCGAAAGACAGCCCTTGCTATGGAGCGGACACAGAAGACTAAACTTGAGGGCTTACATAGTCAAGATAATAAGTCGAAGAGTACGAAACATAAGCCAAAGATAACCCCCGAACAGCAGTCGCAAGCAGGCAGAGCAGGGAAGCTCTTAGGAAGAGCCGCAGCAGCAAGACAACGTCACGGAGTCAAGGGCGAAGGAAAGCCACGCAAAGAGAGAAAGGAACCGGCCACCGTCGAGGCCTTCAAATCCCCTGAGCAAATCATCTTTGAAGGCCGCAGAGCTAGCGAAAAGGATGGCAGACCCGCAGATCTGAAATTCGGCAAGACTAAAGGGAAGAAAGGCGTAGTCAAGGCAAAGACGAAGAATCGAGGGGCTAGGAGAGCAGCCGAATGGAGGAAGAAGGGGACAAAGTAGAATGCTATCTACCAATTATTAACATTGATGCTCTATAATTAACGTACTGCCTTGATACCCAAAATTAGCTATGTACCTACCTAAGGTAGTAGAATCATTCACATTATTACCGAACCGCAGTGGCCGAGCTGCTCGTGATATATGAAATACACCTACCTAGGTACCTAGGTACCTACTATTTGTAGATACATAGGTAGGTAGGTAGGTATGTACTACCTAATCCAATGAAGAAAAATCTAATCGTTTAATAATTTAAGCTAACTCACGCTAATGCATGTTTGGCTCTACTATTTTATGTTAGGTATGGCTTAGCAGCTTAGCAGCACTTGTGAACAGGTAGGTCCTTG